AAAGCCAAATGATATCTCATTTGGCAGCTGTCTCTTTTGATAGGAAGTTTCTTGCTAACTTTCTCTTCTTCTTCCTCAAGAGAAAACCATCACATTTTTCATCTATAAGTTCTCCAAATTAATTTTTCGAAAACTTCTTTTGAAATATGAAATCTACATCTAGCTAGATCAAACACTCTCTCATATACATCTAGGTTAGATTCAAGATTGATTTCTTCAAGAGTATGGTTTCTTCAAGAGTATGGTTTCTTGAAGAAATTGGTCATTTTTCCTTGAATCTAAATTTTGGTTTTTGTCTAAGTTTGAGATGGCTAGCTGGTGTCATGGGATGAAAGAGTTGAAGAAGGAGCTATCATTGCCATGAAGGACTAAGCTACTGGTTTTGCTAAGTTGGAGAAGAAGATTGCACAAATGAGGTATAGCTTATCTTCCTATATAGATCTAGGATTTCTTGAGCTTACTTGTATTTCTTTGTAATAATCTTTTTTACTTGGTGGACTGCCTGGTCAGTTGATGACCCCCAGTTTTTCTCAGTGGTGGGTTTCTGGGTGAACAATTTCTGGTTTGTAGCTCTGTAATTTTTTGGGTTTGTGTTATTGATAGTTGACTAGTCATCACATGATTTTCATGTATTTCTGGGTGTATGGGCTTTTTCGTTCCGGCAGCTACTACGGGCCTTGGTTGCCATAAATGGCAAAATGGATAAAATTGCCCCTTGAGCCTGAGTTCGAAGATCAAGCCCCAAGAATGCTTCGAAAGGACAGAGATGCCTTAAGAAACACCTCGGTTACTTTCACCAACAAAAATAATGGCTGCTTACAGATAAATTCTTTGCTTGGCATGAGAGGCTTGTGGCATGGGAGCAAAGTTGTCATGAGTTTAGCCTCAAAGGAAAAAAGCTGTGAGTTTCCATGAAAAACATGGGTTCTAAGGAAGAGGAGGAAAGGATTATCAGAGGTTTTGGCTGAGATGAGGAAAAAGAGAGAAAATGATGGCTTGAGTGTTTTTCTGGCAACTTAACAGAGACTCCGTCAAATGTTAGAACAGCTTGCCAAGAGAGAAAACTAAGGGAAAAGAATGGGCTGAGCACGAAATTGATGGGTTTAAGGAGTAAGAGAGGAAGCTTGCTCTCTGAATGTGGTTGTTGCTTGTTGGGTAGAAGAAGCCTCTTTTATAGCCGCTGGAAGCTGACATTTTCCAAGAAACCCTTATGGTTTCTATCCAATTTGGCCAAATCTCTCCCTTCTTTTCTCCTCTCCTCCCTTGACTTTTCCCACCTTGGTGAAATTTCCTCAGTCTATTTGCACAAAATCAGAGATTTTTGGGAGCTCAAGGCCCTTTCCCACAGCTATTTTAGTAGGAGACTCTCATTCTCAGCTATCTCATTCATTTCTTTCCTTCCTTCTTCCATGGTCAGGTCTGATGAAGGAAAGAATTGGGTATGTATGCTAGTTCGAAGGGTGCCTCTCCTCCTAGCAGCTTGCGCGCTAATATCCCTTGGTTCTTCGGATGTTTTGTGCTTGAAACTTGTTCCTTCCCATGTGCTAGAGCCTTCCAGCAGCTTTGCATATGTGGACATCTTGCTCCCTTCGTGGCTTCTATTTTTTCATAAGGGGCTGAGGCTTTTGCTGCTTCTCATTTCTAATTGTATGGGCTTTTTAAGATGGTAAGTCATCCTACCAAACAAATGGGCTGATCCCATCAAGTTTCAGGCCATATTGGTTAAGTTTAATGGACCATTTTGGTTGGGCTATTTTGGTTGGGTTATTTTGGTTGAGATATTTTCTCTTTTTGTGCTCACCCACATGTTTGAGCCTAAGAAATGGACTTGGGTTCCAAAACTCCCAAGCAATCCGGAACCTCCATTTCTCAGCCCATCAATGGGCCTCATGACAACTTATTACCATTCATACTACAACCCACTCAAGCAAACATCGGGCATCTTGCGTGGCTTGGGCCCACTTAAGCTTGTAGCGTGGCGTGTTGCTTATTTGCTTGGCGTGGCATGTGTGCAAGCGCATATGACGAACTTTCGCGTGCTCACATCGGGTTTCTTCTCGGTAAGGTATCTTATTGGGCCAAACCGTAGATTTTTTGGGCCTCAACACTGGGTTTGTGTTCTTGCAATTGACTAGTCATCATTATATGTTGTTTGGTATTTACTTGATTATGATACTTTCACACACTTTCACCATAGTTGTTGGTAGCATTGGGGATGTCTAGATTGATGGGTTCTTCTGAGTGCATAGGTTGTCACTAGTAATCTTCTAGGCTTGTAGGTACAGATTGGTATGCTCTGTGTGTGTTCTTGCTTATGGTTATTCATGACTAGCAGTTGACTAGTCATAAGCATATTTGGTCAAAATTTAAAGTGTGTGAATATTGTTGTGTTTGTTTGAGTAGCGTGTAATTTTACCCCTCGTCACCTAAGTACCACCTTAAGCTTAATGGCAGTGGAACTAGAAACTGTAAAGTTTTTGGAAGCACCAAAACAAGTGGAGATGAAGAGGACTCAAAGCACATAAAAGACCCTAAATTACCTCCTCCATCATCCTTAATTTTAGTCCTTCAAATTTTGTTCTTGTATTTTCCTTTCTTAGCTACTTATACTTTATAAATTTGGTCCTTGTGAAATGCACACAACAATCATTATAAAAATCTGTGAATTAACACCCAAAACTAAATGGACTTGCAAATGAGGCAACAAGTTAAAACAATAACTTGCCTAAGGAATTATTGACATCCGTAGATTAAGTACATAAGAGAAATGCCAAACGCACCAAATTTATTCATCAAGTTTTGTTCACCAAACGCACCGAATACTAACCACTACTTGTCCCATATAAAGTAACCAACAACAAACACATCCTAAACCCCTTCACAATCTAGTTTGTAGCAAGGAATATGTGATCTGATGGAAGTTTATGCGATAAGAACTCATCTGTGGATCTTCTGTGAAAACTGATGAACAAGTTCAAGTGAAAAGACTGAGTTTATTTGTTTATTGGTATTTACCACATTTTTAGTGTAACCTTTCCAATTCTAGTAAGTGCGATTTAGCCTCTGTTTCCATCAATTGTCAGATTGAGTTCCTTGTGTGAGAAATTGCAGAGATAAATGGATTGTGTGCTAAAAAAAATAGTCAGACACATTTACATTATACTTTGACTCTGAGAGCTTGTAGAAAGAAATACCTCAAAGCCAAATGGACATGCAAATGAGGCGTCAACATATTCATACACAAAGTAAACATACATAGGCATCATATAATAAGTGGAGGAGGTGCATAACCACCCTGTGATTTTGGTAAAGTTTTAATGGGTGAAGGAGGCGACGACGTAAGAGTTATTCTTAGGCTACGGATGGGCACTATTTTCTTGCTAACAAAGTCACTTTGGCATCCAAAGCTACCTTCTTTTCTTCCAATTATCTTCCTCAATCCATCTCTGCAGTCAACTTGAGATAAAGTACTCTTCTCACCACCTTCAGCTAAAATTAAAAAACACAGCAAGAAAGAAATGCTAATCGCAAGAAATTTTCGATCCTCGAAAACTTTGATACATAAATGCAGAATTGAAGTCAATAGGTGAATACAGATCTCGTCACAAGAAGATATTATTACCTTGAGGAAGTAATGTAGAAGAAGCTAAATTTCCTTTCAGATATATTATAATTATAGAGTTTTTTTGTTTTATTTAATAAGGATTTGATAGAAGAAGTTCAGAAATTATGGAGTTGACTTATACTTCACACGTCTGCTCCCCTTGCTTTCATGGAAGCCACTGTCCCCATATTAAAACACAATTTACCCAAGGGAGCTGATTTTCTTCTTGGAAGCCACAAGTGGTTTTTCTTCTTGGAAGCTTCCCTGTCCAGTGCTTTTGGCAATTCTCTTAACTGTAGGCAAACCTTGGAGAGGTCCAATCCAAGTGAAGCAAATGGATCTGAAAGAACATAATTTGACACATGGCAGCCTCCTCAATCTCAGCAGCACTTGCCTGCCTTTGTTAAGGTTCATTCTTTGACATCCAAAGCAATCTTCTCTCCTTGAAAATGTGTATCTTGAGCCATCTTTACTGTCAGGCACAAATGCTGAAGTGCTCTGCTTACCACCTTATTTCATGCCAAAAAAAATATCATCCATGCATGCATGAACGCTAATACATAGCGGGATGAAATTCTCAGCAGACACAATAACTACTAACATGAAAAACCATCACCAACTGGAATCAAGGCAGAAGTTGCTGCAAAATCCCCCAAAACAAACAACAAGGCGGCTGCAAGTACCATAAATTTTGCTGGAAAACCATTCATTTTCTGCAACAGAACCAACAACTTATAGTTATTGCGAACTGTAAATTCTGTGACATGAAGAAGGCACGAGGAAGCAAGATTTATAGACGATACTTTTTATTACATGCTTCGGTTTAGATTTCCAAAAAGTTGACTTTTTTAGTCCCATAGCTTTCCTTTTGTCCCCTCAGTAAGTACGTTCATATTGAACCAGGCCTTAGCTTAATGCGAGTGGATAAGTGGAAACTGCACAAGTTAATGGAAGCAAAGTATCTTTTGTGCCATAATCACCTTATTTTAGTTCTTATTAGAATTTTATTATTGTATTTTCCTTTCTTAGATTACAGATGCTTGTATAAATTTGGTGCTAAATCAATGGACTTGCAGATGAGGCAACAAGTTAAAAGACAATTACTTGCCTAGGGAATAGATTAATTAAGTACATATGATGAGTAATGCTAAACGCACTAAATTTATTCATCAAATTTTGTATACCAAATGGTGCGGTACTGTGTAACATTACTTAGGATTCCGGAGAGTAAGTATCATTGAATGATGGCGGATGCCTGTGGTGCGGAGGGAGGTTTCTGATGGGAGAAGGTGGCTTGGGCACTATCACTCGTCTTAGGTTGCGTCGGATGGGCACTATTTTCTTGCTAAAAATGTCAGTTTGACATGATCCAAAGCTACCTTCTTTTCTTCCAGTATTTATCTTTCTCAAGCCATCTCTTGTACAGTCAACATGCGACAAAGTACTCTTCACAATACCTTGATCAGCTTCAGCTAGCCATATAAAGAAAATCACAGCAAGCAAGCAAGAAATTAATTAATTAAATTACCAGATAAAGCATAAAGAAATGTAACTAGCTAATTACCTACCGCGAAGAAAAGCACATGTTGCTTGGAACTCCCCCATGAGAAGCAACACTAGTGCTGCAATAACCAGCATAAACTTTGCTGGAAAACCATTCATCATCGGAAAAATCCTGTCGCGTCAACGTTGAGTCGTTGCGATGAAGACAAGGGGAAGCAAGATTTGTAGGCATTGTGTAGTTGGGTTGAAGAAGGAATTTTACATGCCGTGGTTTAGATTTTCAAAAAAGCTTTGGTAACTTGACTTTGACCTTAGAATTTTGATACAGCCCATTGTATGACAATTCCCCTAACTCTAGGCTGCTTTTGACCAAGAACCACAGTTGGTTTTTCTTCCTGGAAGCTTCCCTGTCCAGTGCTTTTGGCATTTCATGTTTCTTTTGCACTCAATTAAATTGCTTTGCAATCTTAGGTCAGAGCAACAACACAGGAAAACTTGATACGCGGTCTTTTAATTTCCTTGTGAAAATTGAAGAGATAATTATGGATTTGTATACTTGCAAAAATATTCAAACACATTTACATACTTTGACTCAAGTCGCTTGTACAAAGACCAAATGGACTTGCAAATGAGGCAACAAGTATCTTCCCTGGGGAACAATGGGAACAGAAATAAACATAGGTACTCGGCCATCATATAATAAGCGGAGGAGGTGCAGTAGCGGCCTGTGATTTTCGTAGATTTTTTGTCGGTGAAGGCGGAGAGGTTGTAATGATTATTCTTAGGCTGCGGATGGGCACTGTATTCTTGCTAACAATGTCACTTTGACATCCAAAGCTACCTCCTTTTCTTCCAACAATCTTTCTCATGCCATCTCTGCAGTCAATGTGCGACAAACTCTTCTCGCCACCTTCAGCCATAGAAGATCACAAGCAAGAAATGTTAATAGACACAAAGTTTGATATATTAAAGGGAAAATAGTACAACCTCATGATTCTCTACAACATATGTAAATGCAGGATGCAATGTTAATAAGTGGTAAATCATAAAACTAGATCACGTCATAAGTGGGGCTCAGTCAACATGATCAACTTCAATGGAACTGATACAGATCTCATCACTGGAAAGATATTATTACCATGAGGAAGTAATGTACAAGTTGCAGAAGAAACACCCACAAGAAGATATACTGCCACAACAGCTAAAACAAACTTTTCCAGAAATCTGCTCGTCATGGAAGAGCAAGAACTTGCAGAATGCTTTCAATTTGAAACCGAGATTTATAGTCTCTACTTGAGCTAAATTGTCTTTACGAGAGACTATAGTTTGTTTTTTTGTTTTGTTTACTGAGGGTTTGGTAGAAGAAGGATTGACTATGGCTAAATAGGCTAAGATATGATGGAGTTGACCTCGACGTTACATGTTACTTCCCTTGCTTTCATGGGAAGCACCGTCACCATACAGCGACACAATTGACTTCAATTTACAAAGGCTAAGATATGCTTAAAAAACATGCTGACTGAAACATCCTCAGTTTTATAACTGTTAGTGGCACAATTCCAATGAAATTTATGGTATTGAATAAAAGCCAGAATATTTATATTGGATGATATTAGCATACAGCTGGCTTCTGTATCTGATATGAATTCAACCCTTCCAACAAGCTGCTCGAAAAACCAAAAAGTCACAAAAAATAAAACCAAGTTGGGAATCTGGCTTAAAATGAAGGGTTTTTAGCAAGTGGGGGTGGGCAGAAATTGTAGTCTAAAGCATTCTGATGAATAGAACAGTCGATTATGACAATTTTACTTCTCTCTGTTACTGTTTTAAGCACAAGTTGGGGACAAAACTATTGTTTAGTACAAGTTATATATTGAGCTTTATCCTTCAACTTGATTTATGAGGATGCACCAGGACTCAACCAAGAAGCTCAAAGAAAACTCAAATATTGACACATGCCAACAATACAATGTAATAGTTAAATTTTTATCTATGCTGATTCAAACAGGAAAATTCATGCACAATTACATGGATTAGCATCAATAGACCGCCTAATGTCTAACGAATGCTTCAGTAATCACAGTAATAACTATCCTTATTCAAAGGAAGTTAAGAACGCCTACCCATTTAACCGCTAAATGGCTTCCACTTATCAATATAACGAGCTAAGGAACGGTGCAGCATCTTCTTCCAAGCTTCAAGATCAGGCAAATCACCAGTAAGAGCAAGGGAGCTATCTTCCTGTCGATTCCCAAGGCCCAATACGAAAAGCTTGTCGCCGAAAACCTGATGCATAGCCTTCAATGTGTCTTCCATAACTACTTTCCCATCTCTCGTTGAGTCCTCAGCCTCCACACAACTACCTCCTACATTGACCATTATTCTCCCGCCTTTTCTCAAACACTTTCTGAGCATCTTCCAAGTATTTGGGTCTTGCAGCTCAGGAACCAAACTGCCTTTACAAAACAAATCCACCAAAATCCCTGAAAACCCATCTCTAGTGCTAGCTTTGAATGCATCTCCAACATGAATTATAAGCCTACCTGGGTACTGTCTTTCCAGCTTTGAGAGACCAAAGTACTCTCTGCCCACAGCAATCACAGACGGGTCAAGCTCCCACCCATGAACCGCAACTTCTGGGTACAGCTCAAGAATGGACCTTGCGGCAGAACCCGCCCCGAACCCGAGAATTCCGACAGGTCCAGGAGGCAAAATAGGCGGCAAGGTGGCGAAGACGTCAAAGTAAGTGCTGGTGAGGGACTTGAAAATGAAGGAGATGCTGTGGATGTTTCCAGGGTTGTCAAGAAGGAGAAGCCTTGACCCAGCAAAGGGGTGGTCAGCTCTTCGAGAAACTTCGAGGACACGAATGTAATTGTACCTGGACTTGAATTTGGCGAGGATTTTGACATCCTCTGCGGGGATGCCGTCGTCTTGGGTTCTGGTTTGGGGGGCGGGATGGTGGGCGGGTTGGGATTTTGGCGTTAATGGGTGGAAGTGGATTGGCTTTGGAGGTGTTTTGGTGGAGAAATGGAGGGTTGGAGATGAGGGTTGGAAAGAGCTTGGGAAATTTTGAATTGGGTAGGAAATCAACGGTCGAATTTGGTGGGGGTTTTGCAGAAGCGACATTGCTTATTGTTCTCTGTAGTCTGTTTCACTTAAAAGAGAAAGCAAAGAAAAAGAAAAGGGAGCGTAATTCTCGTAGTAGCGCCCATAAAATTTATATTATATTTAAGAATAAGAGAATACCCTCCAAATTAGAGAATAAGAGAATTTTCAAATGAACAAAATAACATATAATTGGTACATTCTACATTCTGAGAGGCTACATGAACAATAAACTAGAAACACAGCAATCCTTTAGAACTATCTTAGAAGCTTTCTATGCACAGTGTATTAATATTCGCCTGCTATCAATGTAAGTTCGGTTTTACAAAGGGTGATTCTAAAACAAATGGCATCCGATTAGCAAGGGCATCACCGACTTGACAATTTTGATGGTGGCTAGTAGCCTACTCTAATTCCTCGCTAATTAATAGGATGCCTTTTCTAGAAATTATGCGGCTTGAACAAAGCTCTCTCTGCTTCAGTAAACATCTCATAGACAGGTGATACAGGGACATTACGACCAGAAGCTACAAAATTCCATCTGTGTCAGCAGCACGGAGGATGATTTGGTTTCTCGTCTTCCATCCCATCTGCATCATCCCTACATTAACAACCACAACTCCGAACATTAGAAGAGGGACAATAACTAGAATGCTCATTATCCAACAATTGAATTGCATTTTTATCAAGAGAAATATCCTTAATACACTTTGGATACAAGTCTCATTGATATATGATTATTTTACTATGATATAAAATATAAAAAGCCTTACCGCATCTCAGTTTTAACTGCATGCTGACCAACAGGGTTGGAGAATTTAGTCCAATGCTTGTCTTCTTCAGGATCAGAATCATAATCCGCGCCATCCCAAATGCGAGGCTTTGGTCTTTCTTCCATGTTCTCTTCCGCCTGCATCCATTGAAGCAAATGGTAAGGTTATAAGAATCAAGGAAAATGCTGAAAACATAAAACCCTGGAAAATTATCGAATCAATTCGCACTAACACGAACCTCCTCTGGAACTTGTGTTGTTGGTGGTGTTGTCTGGAAAGGAACGCTGGGTGTATGAGGTATTCTAGAAAGTTGATCTAGTAGCGTATTCCTGGGAAAGTAAACAAAAATCAAAACATGTATGATGAGGTGTGTGTGTGTGTGTGTGTGTGTGTGTGTTTACTGCAAATTAAATAAAACAGTCCAGCATTCTAACAAATGTTTCCTAGCTAGAGATTCTACTGCACCATGCAATAAGTTCCAAGGATAGGCTTGACAATGTTCCATTATATTTGCAAAGATAAGCAAATTAAAGATGAGCTATTTCCTCTTTACAACATGATATGAGTTCCCTTAAGTTCAGAACCATTTCCTTTTACCAAAATTATACTAAAGCAATGCATATGGTTAGTAGATTTTTAAGTATTTTTCATAGGTCTAATAAATAGTTCAAGAATGCTTGGGGTAAGGTATAATAAATTTCACCTTATTGGTGTCAGTAATCACCAATTAAAAATTCAACTTAAAAGTAAACTGAATGACAATACAACCCACTAGCAGCAACTAACACACCTTATTGCCTCCATCTCTTTAGGTGAGTTTAGGTTCTCCATGTTGGATGGGGGAATATGAAGAGTATAATCTGGACCAAAATACTCATAGTATTCATTGTAAGGCAACTTATTATCAGGTTCCACCCCAACTGCCACTGCTGTCTGTGCAAAGTAATAGATGCAATCATAAGGACATTACATTGCATAAGAGTTGTTGCAAAAAAGTTCAAAGAAATAGGAGACAGAAGTAAAAGATGTTAATGTGATTGCCAAAAATGGAGACAGAAAGGCGAGAACGAAACCTCGTAACACCAGCAACGGGCAACATTCCGGATCGTATAACCTCCACCACCCAAGACCATCAGAGGAACATTAAAAGATCTAAGGAAACGAAGACAATCTGCATGGCCTTTGACAGACAAGTTGAAGCACCCCAACCTATCACCAGACAATGAATCTGCACCACACTGTAGAACAACTGCATCAGGCTGATACATCTCCATGACTTTTTGGAGGATGGGCCGAAACAGACCACGAAAACTCTCGTCATCCATTCCATCGTTTAGCGGGACATTCAGCGCATAGTTCTTCCCAGTCCCTGCCCCAACATCCTTAATGTGCCCAGTCCCAGGAAAGAAATCCCCAAATTTATGGAAGGACACGGTCATGACCCTGTCAGTGGTGTAAAATGCCTCCTCAACTCCATCTCCATGGTGCACATCAATATCTACATAAAGCACACGCTGCCCAGCGACAATGACCAGATTACATATGCAAATTATCAAACAATGAAAAAGTAATGATGGCATGCATAATACAACAAATGAGCAGAACAAAGATTTGACACTTAAACCGCATGTATAATCAGAAAAATAAAAATGGATACTTTCACAAATAAATATCACCCTTAAATTTTTATCAGATTCAACTTTCCTAACCCCAAAACTACTTGTTACCAATTAAGTGCAAGCAAGCATAGAGCAAAACAAGTATATCTCAGTAACTAAAAATCACTAAATATAACGTAGTAATAAGCACAAAACATATATAGCTCAGTTACTAAACATAGCTCTAGTGTAAGTAAACAATGCCTCACAGAAACATCAATATCCTCAATCAGTAGCTAAGCTCATTGAAATTAGAACAAAAAAAATCGCCATTTCAATAGATAATAAAATAATTTAATAATAAAAAACAAACAAAAGTGTGGTTTATTATTACCTTGTGAACCTTGAGCAGCTCAAGAATGCC